TGCAGGAGGCTGGAGTCTTGTATTAACAGGTTCCTGTATTAATAGGGATAAAAACCAACGAAACTTCATTACCCAAGATAGGTCTATACGAGACTATGTTTCTGAACTGATTTGGAGGTGGGTGTGAGGGCACCTTCTAGGACTCTGCTTTGTGCTATTGCCATGATGTGGACACAGCAGCACATCCTCTCTGCAGCCCCTGTGGAACCTCCCCAGCTGTCTCTATCTGGCTCTCAAGAGGACGGCTCTAGACTTGAGCCCACTGGCAATGACCTTGCCCTGAACTTCTCTATCTATCAGCTGGTCTCCATGGCTCTTGGCTCCACCCTCACACTTCATTCATTCTTCTCTGTATGATTCAGTGAGCTTGAGGATGGGGAAGGAAATGGTTTCATTTAGCCTCAGTTGTTTGGAGGCAGGAATAAGGATCACTTGAATATAACCTTTCTTTAGCGTTCTTATTTATAAAGCTGATTGAGCTTACTTCTTTATTTGTCAGAATCAGCTTGAAGTGAATAAGAGAATTTACTGTGATTATTTGGATGGCTGCTGCTCTTGCTGTAGCTGCAAAAATTTGTACTCTGAGCTAAGCTGGCCCAGAAGGACAATCTTGTGTCTTTTCCCTGCTAATCTGTGTGATCTGGGAACTGAGATAGAAAAGAACAGCCAGGACATTCAGATTCTTTCCTCAACCACATCAGTCAATGTGTGGCCTTGAAGACATCAGTTTATCTTTCTGCATCTCATCTCCATCATCCTCAGAATATAAATGATCCCATCTTCCTCCAACCAAATTTCCAGGGACACATAGGGTTGCATCGAATGCTGCCTCACTGATGTCCAGACACACTGACGTGAGCCTATTTTGCTGATAACATCTTCGCATTCCTACCAAAAACGCGTACAGTTTCCTTTTCGGCTTATTCATCTGTTTGACTAAGAGTAATGTTAAGTTATATAGTGAGGTGTCTTCCTTTCAAATTCAGCTCCTAGCTGGTTGTTGGAACAAGATGACCTGATTACTGTTAATATTAAGCAATTCTGGACTTTAGCTATAATAGACACACAGTGTTTCAGTTTACTGCGAAAATTAAAAGGCAGGGATTTTGCTATATTAGGCTAAAAATATGATAAAACTTCACCATTTTTTCACAATAAAATACTTAGGTTGATGTTGGTTGCAATGTAATTCATTAGTAAGATCTGCCACTTGCTGAATGCTTATGAGAAGCTTGCCCTTGAGCTGGGTCCTTTAAGTCATCAAAAACAAACCATGAGATAGGTATTATTGTGTGAAAACAAATATAGCTGGTTAATGGTGAAGCCAATATCCTCTCTTTTTGTCTATTAGTTTTTAAAGATAAAAATAATAAATAGGCCACAGGATTTAAAATTTAAGTCTCCTGCTCACCTATGTTTGCCATCCCTCCAGTTCCCGTCTCCAGAGGCAAATTATATTATCAGTTACTTGTGCACTTATACACACATAAGAAAATACTAAAAAAAATGCTTTCACCCTTTTTCTGCACATGTATCAACACGCCATTGCATGCTGTCCAGGAGGACACTGGACATGAGTAGTAAACAAAATATTTCAATTTGAAAAAACGTAACAGCTAAGCATGCAGAAGTGTGAATAACCTGGAAAGAAGGGAACATAGATGGGCAGAAGGTTGCCTCAAGCTACAGAGGGGAAGAGCTTTTGGGAGGTCATGACACAATGTAGTAAAACTAATTTCCTCAAACACAATAGCTACCATGCAGCTTTGATGAAATACACTTTGTGATTTGAGGGTCTCGGTTCTGTTCCTGACTTTCAGGCCACAGGGTCTTTGTTGTTATCCCCATTTTGCTTTTACATAACCAGTACATGGTATCTTCATTAATTATTAAAGTTTTCTAAACTGACCACCAAAGGGTGGTGCAGTGAGCTAAAATAATGTCGAAATAACAAACCTTTATTTTACAACGTCGAGGCAGGGGAACTGAAAGGCAGATGTGGCCTCAATCTGATGCTCCAGTCACACTGGCAGCAAACTGCAAAGAAGCTATAGCCAGGGGTGCAGCCACGTGTGTGAGACTGTGAAACTGAGACAGGAGAGAAGGGAGAACACACAAGAGAACGATTCACAGAGGTTGGGCCTCCACTCATTCCAACCTTATGAAACTATGGAAGGGGAATTGCTTGAAAAATAGTTTGAAATGACTCATGAGAAAAGAGTTTCATAGCAAAATCAATAGCATTATGAGATTGTAGAGAAATGCTTTTACTTCTCCATATCAACAAGTCATTTTAACGGTTTTTGGAATGCACCTAAAACGGTTTTTGTGTATTAATTTGTGGCTAAGAATCTGCAGTGCCAAAAGGGATGTTCTATTCAGTTCTTTAGCCCTGTACATATCTTTAACAGTCTGTCAAAAACAAAGATGCCATGTTCTAAACTTCGGGCTCAAAATGGTGCCTCTCAGCATAAGACAAAGGTACAAACAGACAGGCCCATGCCTGTCCAAATTGGGCCAGACTAAATTGTGCTGAGGTAAAGATTGCTGAATTCAGAGAAAACCAAGTGTTGAAGCAATGAGCCATTTCCCTACTCTACTCTCAGGGGCAAGGGAAAATAAAAGAGAGAGAAATAAATAAATAGGTGGTGAAGGGTGAGTTACTTATAGTAGGGGGATGTTTTTCATTTAGAAGTTTCTGAAGATGGCAGTATCAGAGATGTGTCTTATGTTGCCAGATGTGTGTGTTGGGGGCAATGTAAGTTGTTCCTTGGGAAACGAGACCACCTCCTACTTTCCTAAGGCCTACACATGGCACGGAAGAGGTGCCAATGCTTCTGCTAGGCTAAAGCTGGCTGAAGGTAAGGTGCCAGGGGATATCAGCATCAGGGGCAAAACAATGTACATCACAGGGATGTGACTGTTTCCCCATCCAGGGATCAAGCAAAAGATGAAAGCTGGAGACCCAGAAGGATGGTCAGCCCCAGGGAGCCTGTGAACCAAGGAGAATTACACCTGACTTCTTTAATGACATTTGGGAATCAGACTCTTCACCAGTCCACGTCAATTTCTACACCTGTTCTACTCAGCCTTGATCATGCTGTGCAGTTGTCATTACCTGCACTGGCATGAGCTGTCTCCATGGAAGAGTGAGGGGCAGGACCTCTTCACAGGGTGGCAGGAGAGCGAATGAGTGCAAGCAGGGGAAATGCCAGACGCTTATAAAACCATCAGATCTCATGAGCACTATCGTGAGAACAGCCATGATTCAGTTATCTCCACCTGGTGGCAGGAGAGCGAATGAGTGCAAGCAGGGGAAATGGCAGATGCTTATAAAACCATCAGATCTCATGAGCACTATCGCGAGAACAGCCATGATGAGCACTATCGCGAGAACAGCATGGGGAAAACACTCCCATGACTCAGTTGTCTCCACCTGGTCCCTTTCGGGACCTCACGTTTGAGGGTTCGCAACTGAGAGCCTAGCTTTGGTGTTTTATATGTGATCTCTTATGGAAGCCCACTTAGAGAGACTGATACTCTGTAATAAAATAGTGAGGTAAATTCTACAGCAAAGAACATCATATAAAAAAAGGAACCAGGAACCAGGGACTGGGAATCTCATTCCAAGTTTGTTCCTGAGTCTAGCTTTTCGAGTCATCTTGGATTTTGTAAATCTCAGGTTTCTCTTCTGTAAACTAAGAGAATAGAAATACAAGATTTTTAGGTTGATTTCAGCTCAGTTCTTAGATTCTAACTCTGGATACTTAGTGATATGGTTTGGCTCTGTGTCCTCACCCAAATCTCACCTTGAATTGCAATAATTCCCTTGGGTCAAAGGTGGGACCAGGTGGAGATAAATGAGTCATGGGAGTGGTTTCTCCAGGCCATTCTCATGCTAGTGAGTGAGTGCTCATGAGATCTGATGGTTTTATAAGCACCTGGCATTTCCTCTGCTTGCACGCATTCTCTCCTGCCACCCTGCGAAAAGGTGCCTTCCACCATGATTTTCAGTTTCCTGAGGGCTCCCCAGCCATGTGGAATGGTGAACCAATTAAACCTTTTTTCTTTATAACTTACCCAGTTCCCAGGTATTTCTTCATAGCAGAATGAGAACAAACTAATACACTTAGTCAAAATACTAATTTTATTTTAAACTAATAATGTAATATAGACACAGAGAGAGTAGGAATGAGATATTTGTCTTTTTTAGAAGACCAATATCATAACAGGAGCAACTTTTTCTTAAATATTTCTCAAATTTTTAAGCATAGACATATTGTCATATTGATATTTCATATCAGACATACAGAAATACTTCATTCTTTTTTCTCTCACTATAGAATATTCTACTATGGGAATGTATCACAGTTTATTCATGCTACTAAATGAAAGACACTCAGAGAGTGTCCTATTTTGTTATTACAAACAATATTGGAGTTAATATTTTTAGGCACGTGTGTGCATTTCTATATCATGTATTTCTAGAAATCAAATGATTAGCTCAAAGGTGCATTTGTAATTTTGAGAGCTATTGCTAAATGGTCTTCCCAGGCAAGGAGCTGTATTGATTTACATCCCACTGAAAGCACATTCAAGCACTGATTCCTCCTTCCTGTTAACACAGAACTACCAAAGCTCCTGATGTTGGCTAATCTGAAAAAGCTTAATACTTTGTTCTTTTAATTTGCATTTACTTCTTAGAGAACTGAAATATCTTTTCAGAGGGTTCTTTTTCTCTGAACTTTGCTCCTTTTTCCTTTCTTTGCTTGTTGTCATTGATTTATGAACATTTTTAACAAGGAAATTAGTACTTTGTGATAAACACGCCAGCCCATATTTGTACAATTGTAAATGCCGCCTGTTTTAATTTTATGATTTGCCTTTTGATGTTAGCTATGGTATACAGTCATTATCACTAAATAATGAAAGTACATTATGAGAAATGCATTGTTAGGTAATTTTGTCATTGTGAGAACATCATAGAATGTTCACACAAACCTAGATGGCATAGCGTACCTCAACACCTAGGCTACACTGTTTGACCACCGACTGCTCCTAGGCTACAAACCTGAACAGCATGTTACTATACTGAATACTGTAGGCAACTGTAACACAATGGTAAGTATTTGTATACCTAAACATATCCAGGCATAGAAAAGGTACAGTAGAAATACGATATCACTATAGTACTACTGTTGTATATGCAGTAGGTTGTTCACTGAAATGTTGTTATGTGGTGAATGACTATAATTTGTGTTGCAGAAAATGTTTTATGTTGTCTATCCCATATGGCTCTGAGATGTCACTTCATTTACTAAATCTCCCCAGAGATTGAAGTCTTTTTAAAAAACTTTCTTTTCTTTTCCATTGTTCTGAAGGCCCATTCTTGTATCAGAACCAAACTGTTTTAATGACTGAGCTTTATAATATATTTTAATACAGTATCTGATAGGGCAGCTACTAATACTTGATTTCAGAGGAAAACGTCTGCTCTTAGGCTTATACAATCGTCACAAAAGTGGCCTGTGGATCGTGAGGCCACCTGCTCAGAAACAGAAAGGGCAGTCTGTTTACCACACAGAACTTTCTGACCGTTGGCCTGGTTCACATTTCTAGCATTTACTTTACTAGATGAAAAATCCTTATGGAGCCACTAAATTTTGGACCTGGGAGGGATGAATGTGCCAGTATGTCTTACCGTCTCCTCTGACATCTGTGACTTCTCTGAGTTTCCACACTGCCACAGTGACCTTGGATCATGAGAGTTCAGGCTCACTAATGGCCGGAACTTGATGAAATATTAGAACTGCTAAAAAATGAAGTGGGCTGGTAATGGCTCCTACCAGCTTTAGGAAGTGATGGGCTAAACCCATTCTTAGTTTGCTGCTACTACAGTAGAAATTAGAATTTGCTGATTGAGGATTGGCCCAGTTCGATAATGCATTCCTTCCATAGTTCTCACATTTACTGAGGACCAGTGCGAGTCAAACACTGTTAGGGCCAATGTGTCTGCTCATTTGTCCCTTCCTCCTTCCTTCTTTCCTTCTCCTTCCCCCTTTCCCTGCCTTTCCTCTTCTTCTCTCCTTCACCCCCACCCCTCCCATGAGATATTAGTTTCTCTATTCCTATAGAATTGTATGGACATGTGTGTGTGCGTTCCAGCCTTAATCCACGAAAACCCCTCCTTTCACTTGAGCCTGATCTGAAACATGAAATCTGGGCTGGCATAAATGTGCCAATACACATGGATTCCACCTTTTCCATCTCTAGTCCAGACTGTGTTAAGAACCCAGGGGTGCAGAGAAGGACCGCAGGGAACAACTCAGCCATCCAACGCCCAGCTCATCTGAGGACCTTAAATCTCTTAAACCCTCACCTCTCTAGTCTGAATGAGGCCATCAACACTTAATAATAAGTAACAAGCATAAATAAATCACAGAGTTTTAGATCAGGAAGAAACCTTTGGTATCATCAAGCCTAATCAGATAGGGAAAGTGGTTAATTCATGTACATACAACCAGTTAGCAAGGCCAGGAAATCCACTAGTTGCCAGCCTAGGGTTCACTTTCATCATAGCATACTTTCTCTTCAACTCCTGGAAACAAAAACTATCTGCCTGCCTTTTTTTTTTTTTTTTGAGACAGAGTTTTGCTCTTGTTACCCAGGCTGGAGTGCAATGGTGCAATCTTGGCTCACCGCATCCTCTGCCTCCTGGGTTCAGGCAATTCTCCTGCCTCAGCCTCCCGAGTAGCTGGGATTACAGGTGTGCACCACCATGCCCAGCTAATTTTTTTTTTTTTATTTTGAGTAGAGATGGGGTTTCACCATGTTGACCAGGATGGTCTCGATCTCTTGACCTCGTGATCCACCCGCCTCGGCCTCCCAAAGTACTGGGATTACAGGCTTGAGCCACCGCGCCCGGCCCTGCCTGCCTTTTTAACACAGTAATTAGTCAATTACTTAGTGTACCACATAATTGGGTAACTTTATTTTTTCCCCAAATGTCCTTTATATGAAATCTGCAGGGAAATCCAATATGTCAGATAAAAGCTGAACCATCCTATGGAGGTGTGGACTAGGGACTCAGAGCCCACAAGCCAGGCCTGGGAAGACCCTAGAAAACCCGTGGGACTCCTGCACTGTCCACATCCTTCATGATTCAATAGTCCCATCAACATACTGCCCCCACCCATCAACTCTGCAATTTCTTTTATATCACTAAACCTTTGTGTGGATATACTAGAAATATCGGTCTTTAATCTTGTTTTCCCTTGAGATTGTAAAGGTTTAGTCTGTATAGTTTCTAGGTGAATATAAAGAAGATTCCATCTCTGAGTCAAGCAGAATTGCTTTTTGTAGTTTAATGCATTTTAAACATTTTTCAAGTACCATTTGTTGAAGAAGCTGATCAAGAGATGGGGTTTTGTTTTCTACTTTAGGGAAATTAACTTGTCTACAGATGATCTGGTCTCAAAGCTACCAGAAAAGCATGTAGGCAGCCATTATGCTAAACAACTTCCTCCTTCCCTTCTTGCGAACCATCCTGAGCAGGTAATGAGGAGGGACTGTTCTGTGGCTCTGACCACCAGCAATGTCCTAGGAACTCTGCAACCTAAGTACAAAGAACTGCCTTCGAGGGAACGCTGGGTTCTAACTTTGCCATTCTCAGGTATCAGGCTGAAGGTTTTCCATGCTTTGACTCAATATCCTGGTTATTCTCTTTGTTAGAAGTATCAAAAATGTCCATCTGGAAATTAAGATGCACAATTGATCTGTTTGCATTCAAAACTAGATGAGTACACTACCCATGCGTGCGCGCGCACACACACACACCCCTTCATGAACCGCAGAGTAAGATAAAGACATTTGTGGTTATTTGAGAATAATGACAGAGAGAACTGAAGCTGAGATTAGAATAGGGAAGTCAGGAAGAGAGGAGAGCAGTGGCCTGTGTCGATGCAGTGAAGCTGCGGAGCAATAAAGGAAGCTGGCACCATGTCCCAGCCTTGGACATGTATGTAGGTCTGTGAAAAGAGGGGCTGTTGAGAGTGTTCAGAGGACACAGGGTACCCAGACCTCCTGTGGTTGGTGTCTGGGAAGGGAAGTGTTGTATCCCCATGCATGCACTGGCTTCTGACCTCAGCTGCAGCAGGCTGAGCAGGTTAAACAGAGTCACCCATTCCTCTCCAACCTCAAGTGTCTTGAGCATCTTTGAGGTTAGAAATCAACATTACTTTTACTCTTGATTTTTCTTATTCACATAACTGATCATCTGAAGTTACTTCTTCTAGCTTTGGCCTCTTGCCTCTAAACTAGACTTGCTTTAAATTGAACATTTCTTCATAGACTGGAAAGGCCATTTTTTTCTACAAGAGCAATGCTTTTTATTATGTTCATAAATACAGGCTTGCTTCTGAGCAAGGTAACCTGCAAATGAATGCAAATGTGCCCTTTCAAAGGACACAGCCACAGATAAAAGGGCTTTTCAAAGTAAAAATTCCCTGGCTTCTCAGGACCTTCTCCCTCTCCGTTCCTGGCTGAGGCTCTATTCCCAGTGAGTGTGGCAGGGCCTTGTTCCAAAAGGCCCACTGGTGGGCAGAAGTGGGTAAGGAATGAGGTAACAGGATCCAGGGCCCATGTAGTCAGTTCAGGCAGTCAATTCCAGTTGCACTTACCATAGTTGCCCTTTGCCCCTACACATATCTGCTTGCTACTCCTGCAGGAGCTCCCTAGGCAGGAACTGTGTCCTGTTCAACTCAATGCTGGGCATTGCGGATACAGCTAGGACAGCAGGGGCCTGACTAAGACTACCTCCTTGTTGCATTTTATCATCCATAAAGACAACCCACAGCAAGATTTATCCGTGTCAAATGCATGGCTCAAGCCAAGTCCTAGGGGAGTGTGCAGTGGTCATTACGGGCTGGTCCAGAAGAGTCTATGAGACTATAGAGGAGGGAGGTTAGGGATCATGGTCTGGCTTAGCGGTAGTGCCAGGAAGGACACAGGGTTTATTTTGAAATGGGGCCTCCTCTGAATATTTGGGAGCATATCTCTCCCAACAGCGACCTTCCCTAGCCTGAGCCTGCCTTCTCAAACTCCTGGCCTCAAACAATCCTCCTGCCTCAGCCTCCTGAGTAGCTGGGATTACAGGAGTGAACCACTGTGTCCAGCTCTGCCTCCTCCTTGAAAGGCGATGGCTCTGGGCTCATCTGTTCCCATCTGTTCCCATCTCTACAGGATTTTGCCCCAAATTCCTCCCCCTCTGTCTTACATTGTTGACACCACCCTCTCAACTGGCACCTTCTCATCATCATGAACTTGACTAAGTCTCTCTCTCATCAGTTAAAAATGAACATACAAAAGCCTCAATCCTCTCTCAGTCACTATGTTTCCCTCTTGCTTTAAGGTGTAGGTTTGATTTTTATTCAGGTGTGGTGAGGCCAATAGATCAGAAGATGATTGCTATTGAAAAGATAGTTCATTACTCACAGATCCCAAGAGGAAGAGCCACACTGTGCCACACAGGGCCACAGGGGGAAGCACCAGCATTGATCAAGAGACAGAGTGAGGGGAAAAAGTGGTAATAACTTTTGCTATGGTTTCAATGGGAAGAAACAGATGAGAAAGGGGAAACTGACTTAGTCTGAATAATTTCAGTAGGCTCTGGGGTAAAGGGGTTGTCTCTAACTATCTTGTACCTGGCCCTGGGGTGATTAGGGCAAGGGAACAGTGGCCTTGAATGTGAGTGCCCCATGGAGAAAGTGGTGGGGTGTGGGCTCTGGACGGGTTGGTTTGCATTTTAAAGGCATACCCATATGTGAGCCATTTACTATCTCTAGAAATTGGCAGTCTCTCCAGGGCAGCAAGTTAAAGCATGGACTGCAGAAACCAGGACAATCTTATTGCTCACAATTGCAACTTTAACTTCTGCACTTCCCACTCCCTCCTTCAATAATCCAGTGTTCAATCCTCTGAAATTGCTCTTCCCAAGACCTTCTAAATCAAAGGGTCGTTTTGCTGGTCTTAGTTTCTTTGTTGTTTCAGCCCACAGTTTTAGGTGTTTTAACCTCCTCGTTTCTGAAGTGTGCTTCTTCTTTGGCTGGCACAAAACACTGACT